TAGGCTATTTTACTCATGTGATGGAGAAGTCCAAGGACAACATTCCAGCCCTGGTACAAGTCAGTTTCTTTCATCTCACTTCTGACAGCACCCCTTTCTGATCTACAGTTTGAAATATTTTACTTCCAAATTATAGCAACTTTAAATATCCTTGTCCTTGGGAGACTAAATCAAAAGAAATTTGGTTGAAATTGGCTTTTTCCCCTATTAGTCTTTTCTGCCTTGGCCATTATAGGGGGTTTTGTGATCAATGATTCACCAATTCTCTTGTAAGAGTGGTAATCATATCCTTATTTACACCTTTCTTCCCAGAAGTTACTACATCATAGATTTTTAAAAAGCACATTTAAGAAGGTATTAGCAAAACAAATTGCTACTACAATTATAGCTCTCCAATCTGCTTTACTCTGAACCCATCTCACTGTGCAGGCTAAAATTCTGCTCCATGACTGTCTGGATATCTCTAGTAGAATACTTAAAATATTAACTCACAACTGCCCATTTTCTCAACTGCTGGCTGCAACAGAGGCTGACCAGCAACCTTGACTCCAGAGAAGGACAGCAGTGTGTTGTAATTACTTTATGCACAAGAAGTGACATTGTAATGTGTATCTTTATCTATTTGTTTGTGAATTCTGCAGAGTGTCTCAGGAACTGGCTTGGCTTTCATCGTTTTCACTCAAGCTATCATCCTCATGCCAGGCTCCCAAGCCTGGGCCATCCTGTTTTTCATAATGCTGTTCAGCTTGGGCCTTTCTTCAATGTTTGGAAACATTGAGGGTGTCTTCACTCCTCTTCTGGAGCTTCAAATTATACCTAAATCAGCACCTAAAGAGCTATTATCTGGTAAGGTATTTGCTTTGTTCAAAGAAGGTGGCTTACTTACAGAGGCACAAACTACTCACTGCTTAATTAACATCACAGAGAAATTAATAATCTGTAGTATTAATTTAGCTGAATCTCACAGCATAAGTAAGGGCAGTGGATTGTGTTTGCAGAAGATAAGCAGAAAGATGAGGTAGCAGTTATGGCAGAAGCTCCCAGGTGACAACATTATACTGCCTTTGCCAGTTTTTTCTTAGTTTGCAAGTTAAGCTGTTCCAGTCTGAGAAAGCTTGTTAAATTGCTATTCCTGGAGTCAAGTTCACTTTGAGCTGTTACAGTCATCAGTAAGAGCCTTGTCTTCCCTTAAACCTTTGGCACTGATACAAATCACTTTAAGGCACCCAGTGACATCAGCTGGTCTGCCACTTGAAATTACTGCTGTAAGAGAGGTATTTCACCCCTATTTTACCCAGGTTTGTGCTGCTACAGATTGTTTCACATTTACTGTGAACATGTCAATTACCACTTGAAAAATGAGGAATGAAGGTGTGTGATCCTGTTCTGGCACCAAAACTGGAATATTTTCAACCAGAGACGGTTACTGAACAAAGCCTGCTCCTTAAGAACCAGACTCAAAGAGAGCCTGAGAGATCCTAATGTGATATTAGCCCAGAAAAATCTATGGCAGCTGCAAGTAATGGATTAGTATTTCTGCAATGTGCCCTTTTAAATTCTTATGGGAAATATTGCTTTCATGCCTTTTGCAGTCTTCCTGCAGCATCTAAATTGTATTCCTAATTTTACAATTTTTTGTGTAGACAATATTATTTTAAAATTGATTTTCCAATAGTGAACTTCACAAAAAAAAAAAGTCTGAAGCCATCATTTTACAGAATTGAATCAAAGGCCATCTCAGAGTTAGAAGCAATTAGCAACACATTAGAAAGACATACAAACTGATTTGTTGACCATGTCTGTGTCCAGCAATACCTTTATTCCTTCTTTTCCTTCCCACTTTTTCTGTCAATTATCTCAAATCTAAATCTTGGCTAAAGGGGAACTGGCTGTACAGAACCATGCTGAAACCCAAATGATACATGCTGGAATATAAGGGACACACATATTTGTAGCTCTGGGCTCTTTGAGGAAATGGAGGCAGAAATACAGGAGTCCTTACACTACCAAGGTGCCACCTGCCCCTGATTTAAGCATATGGCTGCATGGAAATGAGGCACTTCAAACTCACTACAGCAGTCAAAAATTAACACTGGGTCACAACACAACCCAGGCTGTCTGATGGAAGGAAGTATGAACAACTGAAGGATGCTGTGAGTCACATGAACGCATCCCTCCTGCAACAGTGGTGCTCTTGGCCAACACACAGGGGAAAACTGAGTTTGGGAAGTGGTATTAGCTCCCTTAAGGGGAAAACAGCTTGCATTAACTCCATAGAGGGAGAGAAAATAAAAATTATTATAAGAAGCAATTTAGAACAAAAATAAACCTACCACGTTCAGTAACAAAGATATCTTTTTTTCTTCAGGTATAATATGTCTAATTAGCTTCCTCATTGCTCTGTGTTTTACACTGGGTTCAGGGAGTTACTGGATTGACATTTTTGACAGATATGCAGGATCAGTGCCTCTTCTAGTCATTGCTTTCTTTGAAGTGATTGGAGTTGTGTACATCTATAAAATTAAAAGGTATGTTGGAAAGAGATGGATTTTTTTTCGTGAAAGACACAAATGCAGCTCAAGTTGCAGTAAATTTGGCCCTGGCCTGATTTGATTTGGTGCTGATTAAATGAGACTTCTTCCTAGAATGCTCTGTTTGTTCCCTTGGCAATTTTGTCTTTTCATTTTAAATATCTGAATAGTTTACAGAACTGCTGCAATTTTATCATCATTTATTTATGCTTAGAAACCTTACACTAGGTGCTCAGGTAATTAAACTGACAGCATAAATTGGTCATTTCATCTCTGGTATGGATCAATAAAGACCTACTTGAATGATATTATTGACTCAAGTGAGTAGTAAGTTATTAAAGAATGGTGTGGAATAGAAAAGATTTATAGTGCTGTACTCTGTGTCTCCAACTTACAGGAAAATATAAAAAAGGGAAACTGTTACCACTCTAGAAATGACATCATAAACATGCCTTCTTTTACAAGGTTCAGTGAAGATGTGGAATGGATGACTGGACGAAAACTCAATTTCTACTGGCAGATCACCTGGAGGTTTATTAGCCCTCTGCTTCTCCTAATTGTCTTCATGGCCTTTGTTACTCTTCAGATGCAGAAGCCGCCAAGCTATACAGCCTGGAACCCTAAATATGTATGTTCTCAAATATTTTCAGAACTTCTAATAAAAGGAAGAATTATCTATTTTCCTCCCTTACCAGATCCTTTAAGATCATTGTTATCTACTGCTCACCCACTGAATACAGCCTGAAGTGATGTAGTGCTCAGAATGAGAAGACTTCAGTGTGCAAACAGGTTACACATACTAAAATGTGTCTTTTCCTGAGGTGTCCTTCTTATTCCATGCTCCATCTTTCTTATAGATGTGTCTAATGCTCAGAAGTGTTGAAGTGAAATGTCACAGACATTCCATAACCACAGGGGATTCAGAAATAGAACAAATGCCTGAGCAAAGCTTTAGAGCTGCACAACTAATGTCAGGGATTAAGGCATTTCTCAGTGAGAACTATCAGTATCACTGGGGTCCTGGTGAATATATGAATATGCACTTTTGAAAGGCAGACAGGGGGGCAGTGGTCTGAGAACAGTGTTGGTTAATTCAGCAACAAAGACATGTCCACGCTGAGAACATTAGTTCTGGATGTCAGTGTCTCACATCAATTGAAGTTTCTTTGACCCTCTCAAATACAACCTGTGTAGGGGCTTGAAGATCAATTCTGGCCTTAAACTATATGAGAATTACACAGCAGCAGTGCCTCCCCCAAATGCCATCAATGCTATCATCCCAAATAAAACTTATAACCACAGACTTGCAGAAATTGCTTTATCATCATTCCCTCAAAATCTCTGATATACATCCTTCCTATTTAACGAAGAACACTCTCAGTAATTGCTGAAACCAGGTAAGCTTTGAATACAACAAAAATGAACATAGTTTAACCAAGAGAGGGTGAAGGTTTACCAACACTTTGGGCACTTCCCATATCCCTAGGAATGTGTCACAATTCCAGTTATACGTCTTTGAAACTGTAAAACATTTACAGCTGTCTCTAGACCCACATGAAGGGTTTGCAGAGGACACAGCCACTGAATGCTACTGTAGACAGAGAAAAACTTTCACTATCCTTACTAAAGTAGTGTGAGAAAATAAAAATAGGAATCATAGCAAAATCTTTGTGTACCTACAAATGATTTCTTTTGCTTGCTCTTTTATCTCCACAGGAAGGCTTCCCCATGAAAGAGGAGAAAGTTTATCCACCTTGGGTACAGGCCATTTGTGTGCTGTTGGCTGCCCTTCCTTGCGTGTGCGTGCCTCTGGTAGCACTCTTCCACCTAGTCAAGCAAAAGCGCAGGAGCAAGGACCCAAGCTTTGTACCACCAGAAGTCTTCTCCTGTCAGGGGGCTAACAGCAACTTTTCTCATCCAAAAGAATAAATATCCACCGTACCAGTCTGTAAACAAAAATAAGACAGCCTTTTTTAGACAATATTAGCTGTCATTTGGTATCATCCGACCAACCTTGTATATACAGCAATCATTGCACTCTGTAAACAGTGCTGTTGTGTTTCCTTTAATTTCAACCAATTCCACAGCTTCATGTATGTCTCCAGTCAGAATTTAAACTTGGAAAGCCTGTTAAGTATTGCTGCTGGCTTCTGTCTTTCTTCACTTTTACAAAAACTGGTCTGTTGCTAAAGATCAGCAACATAAATTGGAACACAAGCACCTACAGTATCATCCACTACCATGCCCTCCTGCTCTGAGAGATGCAGAATGGGAGCTCTCTAAGAATAAGGACTGCTGTTTTCCACTACTATCTAATTTGTGTAAATCCCTATACACACTTAAATAGGAATCATTTTGTGTTTTTTTTCATATTCTCAAGCACTGCAAGGAGCAAAAATAAAGCATCAGCAGATAAAAGAATATAGGTTAAGTAAATTTGACCAATTAATTCTGCACAAATCTCTTATCTTAGCAAATTCCAGAATTTATTGTAGTGGAAAATAATGTTAAAAAAAAAGAAGTCCCCATTTTTTCCCCTTTATTTCTCATACTGAACACAATAGCTGAATAGCATAAGAATAATGCAGAGGTACAGCAGCCTTTCAGTGAGCTGCAACCTTACAGGACATAACAATGAAATTAATCTTTACTGAAAAACAGGATTTCCTGTACTTGGCTGCAGATCTTGGCCACTCTGTTGTGCTGGGAGATGAGGATTCCTCTTGTCAAGACACTTGAGGAACCAGCAGCCTCTGAAAAAATATGGGGAAAGTATGTAAGGATAAGGTATGACAATGTCTTCAGGCTGAGTAACTGAGTAAAGGAAGAGAAAGGATTAGGGTTATAAAGCTGTACAAACATAAATAAGAATTTTTAACTAATTATAGCATCCATTTTATATTCCTATTTCTGGCTACAGACAGATAAATGTTCATTAAAATCCTATAGGCAACTATAGGAGGCTTAAATAGTCATAGTTCTGCTCCTAAACAAAAATACATCCAACTAATGCAGACAGAAGCTGAGAAAATAATTAAACTAGATCTAAAAGACTTTCAAGTCTATAAATCCATCTTGAGTCACTGTCATGGTATCCAGACTTGACTTTTGAGCTGTCCCTTCCATTCACTACAAGGGAGACTTTATGGATCACTGGACATGCAGTTCAGCCCAGGACAGGACTCTGAGGAAGAACAATTTTCAGCTCCAGCAACTACAAATGATGTCTGGGAAGCACAAGCTGAGGTTACTGTTTAGCTCAAGTAGGCATGTAGAAAAATGTGTTGAGCAACTCTTGCATGAACACTGCTTTTCTGTTGTCAGTGCACTTCTGATGTTACCTCTACCAAAATTCCTGTGTCAAAACTGTAGCCTTATTCCAATAAACTTAGTGCTTCAAGTTCCCCTTCTTATTCATGAAGAAGATGATGATATCCTACAGGTACATTTTTTCCTGAACAGCTCGACTGTGTTACTTGAGGGAACACATGTATGCAAACACCTTCTGTTCATTCTTTTCCCAATCTTTTATCTCCATATTCCATCAAATCTTCTTTCCTCTAATACGCTGCCGTGAACTCGTAACGTTCTGACAGAAAAGACTTTCCTAAAAGTGCCTAGGCTGCAAGAACCACCTGGGTTCTTTGGGAGTAAATCAGTAAAAGACACAAACACAGCCATGGTGATGTTCAGCCTTAACCAGAATCCACAGCCCTAAAACAAGGAGATCAATTGTCTATTAAAGGAAGAAGCCTCAGGAGTGTTGGAACAGCACTATAAATAAGGACACATCCAAATTATCATAATACAATAAACAGAAAACAGATGCAGAAAGAAAAGCACAATCCTTCTGGAACACAGGCAGTTTTGTAGGACATTGTGAAATTTGATACCTACCTCAACCTGAGATTTCCAGTCTGTATTTCCTTCCCAAAAAGAAACAGTGGGGAGAGTAGAATGTGCCTGATGGATGTATCCAAGATATTGTGATCTCCCTTAAAGGGGCTTCTGTCAAATTCCTTCCTTACAGCTCTGCAGACATACTAAAAACAATGTTCAGTCCTATTTCTCCCCTTCCCCATTTAAACCCTCCAGCAAACTCAGCTTCCTGAGTGGTTTGCAACACTTGCAGCGCAGGTTGCGCAGGGAGTTACCTTCAGTGGTTTAGCTCTCAATCCCTCTACTTACCTTCTCTTAAATACTGAGACCTTAACCTTCACCACAACTCTCAAATCTCTTGTAATTTTCCCAGCTGTACAATGATTGTTGAAAATCTGCATTACAGATTCAGAATGCTCCTAAGGTAATTCCTTTAATATTTCAAGATTCAAGTTATTCACTCTACCCAAACGTTTCCTGTCAGCAGTTGCTGTTTAACGCATTGCCTTGCTACCAATTAAGTAGAATATATTTTACCAGTGTAATGGATCACACTATTTCTTTTAGAACAGTTCTGTACTGGAATAACTTTATGGGATATTTCCATTTTCCCAACATTATAAATATCTATTTTTAGAGCAAAAACTGTATGCCCTGCCATGGTTAATCTATTCCTTCCATATATACTCCTAGTATTTTCTTTCCAACTACCATAACCCACAGAAGCAACTTCAAGTTTCCAGTATAGACTGACAGCTCTTCAAATCTCCAAGCTCTCCACTTGCTAAAACACATACCAGTTTCAGCTTTACTTTCACTTGCCTTTTTGAGGAAAGGATATTTTAAATTAAATAATCTTCTCTTGTGATTTCTACACCATATTTGTATCTGTTTACAAACACCTACTGTTTAAAACTGCTGGCTCAGGCAGTAATTGTTGGGAAAGGCAAACAAAAGCTCAGAGAATTGCAAGCATTACACTTATATTCATTTTTATAAAATTACACCTTCAGCTGAGACCACATCATAAGTTTATATTCTCACAGAGAAAAATGGGTTAACCAAGCCATTGGTGAAGTTTACATTCCCTCCATTCTTCATTTTGGAGCATCTTGCTGTCTCTTCCTGCCACATGATCCCATAAAACAAAGCTTTCTGCACTGCCAGGCAACTCTTACGCAGTGCTTTCCTAGATAGTGCTCCCTCATCCAGTGTCACTGCAGACCACTGAGGGGCATGGGGGTGTTTAAATGTTTGAGCTGCTGACTGGAGAGCAAAAAGTGTTGTTGTTCTTCATCTCCAGTAGGAGCAATTGTTCTGTGACTTTTTTGAAATATACTTTAAGGGTGCCACTTCACAGACAGAAAAAACCCAAACCTGTGTGACTGACCGTACATTTTGAACTGAGTTATGATGTTAATGGACAGACTGCAATACTGCAAATCAACCACCGGTCCCTGGGTGGTAGGGATTTGCCAGGTATGAACCAACCATGACTCCTCTGGGCAACCTCTTCCTGCATCTCAACACCCTCACAGTAAAGAATTTCTTCCTTATACTGAATGTAAACCAACTCCCTGTTTAAAATCATTCTCCATTTTTCTATCACTATATGTCCTTGTAAAAAAATTGTTTTTACAGCACCAAAGATATGTAAATAGAAAAGCAATATACTTGGTATATTATCTAATCAAGAACTTTTGTTTTGCAGGTATAAATGCAACAATATCATTCTGTGCAACACTGTATTAAAAATATCACATTCAAAATAAATAAAACATACACCAAAAATAATCAGCTTGGACAGTGACATTTTGGCACATGTTAGTTGTGATCTGCAAAGCATAAAACTTCTAGCCTCTGCATCTTGCCATGAAATGAATTTGACCTGTGCAGATAACTGCTTTTTGTGACATAAACCAGCATATTACAGATTACTATAAAATAAAGTCAGTGGAAACAAATATTTGGTATTGCAATTAACCAGACAATTTATTATAAAATAGTCTGCAACACAGATAAGTAAAAAACACCTCTTCAAGACAACTCACTGAAACAAAAATATAAATAATTTTATACAGAACATAGTTTAATGATTCCTCCATCAAGAAGATGGGAATCATGGAACATAGCCAAGTAAATTACCTCAAACAGCCTGTGAATTTACAAAAATAACCCCACAAACAAAAACCCAAACAAGAAGGTATTAACAAAACTGTCTGCTCTTTTTGTGTCTTCTAAGAAGCAAACACATAAAACTTCTGAGTGAACTTGCTTTTGGGCCACTCCACCAAACTAAACTACAGAGAAGTCACCCAAAGACACAGTATTTATTTTCAAATGTGGGAAAATTATGAACTAAACCTCAATCAGTTAGTCCAGGATAGCTTTGAAATCTTGACAAAGAGATGGTTCTGTCACTGCCCGCAGTAGTGCCACAGTATCCTCTGGGATCTTCCTGATTAGCCTCCTCTTACCTACCAAAATATCAGAAACAATTCATTACAACTGCAAATTACTATTAATTCTGGTTTAAGGAAAATGCTAATGAAGCAATGAAATCAGTACTAGCTAAAACCAACTAAAAAGTTGAAACACCTGGAATATGAGGACAAAAAGAAAAAAGTTCTAATAAAATATGCTACTGCTCTTCCATGCATTAATCAGGCTAATAAATAAATAAATAAAAAAAAGTTCAAAATTGTATGTGAAAATATTAACAAAGAAAATCAAGGAGCAAATTCCTCCTAGTTTCTGTTTTTGTGACTTTTTTTGTTCAGATTTGAGAACTTCATTAAATTTTGAAAAGCATAAGCCCATTTGTTCAACAACTTTACCAACCAAATAAGGCCTTCTGTTAAACCATAGTTACTTTGAAAGACTGAATGTCCCATCAATAGAAATACAGACAGTAAAAAGGACTTTTTACAGATTAGGATGAACATGTAAAATCCTAGCAACAGTTCAAGTCCATCACTAAACAGAGTCAGCAAAATTATCAATGGTGCAGAAAGCCAGGAGTACTCAATAAACATTTGCCCTGTATCTGGAAAGGAGACAGATGATGTATTTATATCTTATCATGATAAGGAAAGACTCTTGCTCCTTTCCCTGCTGGTAATAACAGGAGGGATGTTAAACAATAACTGTGTTTTAAATACTTAACTCTGAAGAATGATGACAACTCATGACAAGTCCCTGATGTTGATATTTAATAGGTTTGGGAATAGTAGGAAGAACTTCCTCCCCAAAACCTATGAGCTTGATATCAATTCCCACAGAGACTAATGGGAAGGCATGTGCAGGGGCACAAGAGAAAACCACATTTATACCAATTCCTGTCAACAAAATGATCTTACAGAGGTAATAGGTTTTATACAGGCAATACAAATTCCAAAATGAAAACAAGAATTGCAGCTGTTAAGTCAACACGGGCTTTTACTAGCCTTGTTTATCTCTGTACTACAGATTACTGCAGCCTATAGAGATACTGAGCTGATTTCACAGGATCCAACCTGAAAGTCAGTGACTTCCCTGTCATGACTACTGACATCCACGCATGCTACTTGATTTCCAGGAAGACAAAACTTAAAATACCATGTTTAGAATTAGCTCTGATAGCTCTACATAATTTCTCTAAGCAACCTTCTCTACAAGATGATTCTTGATGGTTCTGATTACAATAACATTGCCCAGGACTAGGTCTGGTGCAGCGCAAACAAAACTAAATTGTAACTGCATAGAAAACTATCAATATCTCTGTAAATGGATTTTACTGTATGCCCAAAGGATGGGGATACTTAGTATTGTACTGAATTCACAAGAATATAAACCATGTACAATCAGAAACTGAAAAACAGCCTTCACCCATGACCAGAGACCTTGGGGATACAGAGATAATGATGCCCACTCACACCAAGGGTATACATGTGACTTGTTACCACAAGGTATCTTTGTACAGCTCCACCAATTACTGCATCAACCCTTGCTGCATCGGTGGAACAGAACTAGTGGAAGTGCAGGTAAGATTTCAGGTGGCTATAATCAAATGGAGAAATAGCACTTGAATTACTTGGACCCCAGTGATCTGTCATCCAATCACAGTGAAAGTTTCCATCTTGAAAGTTTCATAGTAAAGTCACAGACTGCTAACTGTTCAGGCAGCTGTTAAGCAAAGGTTTCTGAAGCCTTGATCTTTCCATAGTGTACTTGAAGTCTCAGATATTTCCAAAAGAAACTGGATTCTGTAGATAAGAAGAGTCTTAACACTATGGATGTGAAGAACAGATTCTGCCTCAGAGAAGGTAATGTTTTTGAAGGAACAGCTGAGAGGTACTCTTTTCAAGGGAACATCACCACTGACTTTCTACAGACCTTTGGCCTTTTCCTGCTCCATCTCCACAATACTCAGGAAATATGTTAATAGGCTTCCACAGGAATTTAGGAAGAAAGATTATTCCCTTTCTCAAGGGCAATTCTCACTGGCAGAGAAGCCTGCTGACAGGTGGTCAGCTTTCCCTTCCTGGGTTAGAAACTGTGCACAGAGTTATGCCTGGACCACATGAAAGTTTCAGATCAGTATTGCAGTTAAGCAAGCAGCTCTATGGGTACAGCAGAAAGAACCTAGAGACAATTGCTATTCAGACTAGGAAAACTTCACCTCTACTTCCCAGCCAATTTTCCCTGGCATTTGTGGTGGTTTGTGGACAGCAGAGACTGCTTTTACAGCTGATGTGTGCAGCCACAGAAGGTGAGATTCTGTTGAGCAATAAAGCTGCCAGGAGCTGTGCCTCCACCCTGAAAGCACTGTCAGAGTAAACAGAAAAGCATGCACAGAGAAGGATGAAGAAGGTTTGCCTTGGATTGTGGTCTGCCAGTTAAAGATCCCAAGAGCAAAACAGTCACCATTAGAGATGAAAACTCAAATGTACCCTATACAGATCTTGGAGAAGTGGGGCAGCTCCCAGAGAAGCCACTGCCCTACTGGTTCTGTCCGCTGCATTCTCTGCTTAGTTCTTCAGTCCCAGTCCTCTACAAGTGAAGAAAGCAGCCCTGCCCTGGTTTCTCAGCAGCAGAGGGTGGTTTTGGTGCCACTGAGCAACTCAGAGAAAGGAGTTCCTCTGGGAAAGGCTGTTGGAATTCTGCTCCATACAGAAAGTCCATAGCTCTCAAGGATGTGGCAGACAAAACCCCAACCATCAGTCTGTTTCTCTTAACAGTGTAAATGTTGTCTTGGTACATTCACACTGCACCACCAAAAATCAGACTCTGCACTTAGGCCTTGCTGCAAGCCTTCAATATGGGAAGAGACTCTGCACTTAGGCCTTGCTGCAAGCCTTCAATATGGGAAGTAAATGCTTCCTTCCAAAAGAAGAGCTGCTTTTTATTTGGGGCACTGGACCTCAGTGCAGCTATCAAAGGAAGTTTATGATATATCTGAAATCAAATAGGTGTTACCCTAGAATGAGACCCAAGAATTTCTTGATCTTATATAACAAAACTGCCCAAGCAATGAGCCCTTCAGAGTGCAAATTACAGAGTCAGCATCCACAGTCTGGACATTTCACCAAATGAAAATGTCAGAGATACACCAACACCACAACTCCACACAAATACACATGCAGTGGAGCCAGTGCTTCTGTTTCCAAGTGACCCTGGTGACACTTTTTTGAGTAGGAGTTTAAATTGTGGGAGGAGCTTATTTAGTTGCCAGTTAATCTACATTTTTTAAAATAGAAGCCTGAACACTTGTATTTCATTTAGTTAAACCTGCTGAGAATACCTACATGATTAACACAGTCTCATTAAGCTTTCTGAACTGTACAAGCTTACTGAGTGCCAAGCATCAACTGTCCTGTGAAAATAAGGCTCTAGAAAATGCAGCGCTGAAAAACATTTTAATCTGCCTACTTACACTTAGTAAACTTGAATAAAATCAGAAAGATCATTAATGTACATCTGAGAAAAATATTATAGGATTAGAAAACTTTAAAAATCCATTAGTTTTTAAGTTTTATTACAATTAACATAGACAAAACTGTAAAAATAGCTACATACTTACAGACTTTTAAGGGTTTAAGCAGACATTCGTAAAAAGCCTTGTGATTTGACAGTTTGACAATGAAGGCATGGTAGCAGAGCCATTCTGCTACCTGAATAGGGAATATGCCAGATACATCTTTGTTACCTTCAGCAATCCCTAGAGACATAAAAGGAAAATAATATAACTGAAAATGATGAGCATTAAGAAGTATGTCTGGTCTCTCCTCTCTTTATATAAAATCACCCCAGGATTTTTTACTAGAAAACTGTATAGTCAGTGAAGCCCTGCACATTAGCAGAAAACTAAAAACTAGTGCCTGAAACACAGTCTTCAGAAAACTGAATTTAAGAAGAAAAATGCACTGTGATTCTCATCATACACTTCACAATATTCATTCCTGATCTTTATCCCAAAATTACACCATCGGACTGCATAGTCAAGACGTTCTATTTGTCCAAAAAACCCCCAAACAAATCAAAACCCACTACTTCATTCCCATTAACACCCTATACCTGCATTTATTGTTTTCAGGATAGCATAGCAGCATGATGCAGTCTGAGAAACAATCCTTAGGAAGAAACGAGGATTTTTTCTAACTTGCTGGTAGAATGGAAATTGGATAACACAGGCATGGAACCTGTTCACAAAAACAGCCTATTTAATCAAAAGTCATTTGCAATTTCAAGTGAAACTATGACTACATAGCTTAGGCACCATACAACATCTAAAAGCACACAACAGTCTTTAGCTGTATCAACACTGTTACTTCATGACGCCTCTCCCATATATACACAATTCTGGAATGTCAGACAATAGATAACATTTATTTCTAAGTTTTATACTGAAAGTAGATCCCTAAGCCATCTGTCTTGGTAACAGACTTCTCCTCTGAGGACAGCGTAACTGTGTTATGTGCAGGGAAAATTAAACTACCCATCGTCACCAATTCCATATCACAGACCACGACACCAGAGAACACCCACATGAGAGAGTAGGAGAGGGAGAAAAAACAAAGCAAAACCCCACAATAAATTCTGTTCAGGTATTCAGGAAAATAAACTTCCAAATGATTCTGCAGACCAAGACACTCACTCCTTTGCCTATCTGGAAGCCAACTCTATTGAAGTTATTTGTACTGTATGCTTCCTAACACCTGTTTGAAATTATTTTCGAGCTGCTGACTTTTTTACCTTCAGACTCTGGCATTACAATCCTGCCTATGATGAATACAGCCAATTACAATGTTGATTTTTAATTAATCAACAATGTACATACTTGCTTATTAAATTAACCCAGCATATTGCAATCACTTAAAAGAACCTGTGACATTTTCAGTATTTCAGGGGTACACCCTAGTACCATGCTGCATTACAGGTCTTTGGCTGAATTAACTGGACATGCAGTTATCACGGTGGACAGTCTTTTAATTATAAAGGCCACTGTTATAGTGTTACCATAAAACCAAACAGAAGTCACTAAGTGGACATCTCTATCAGAGAAAAATCTTAAATCACCCACAACACCAAAGTTTAAAAGCTGGACACATGAGTGCTGTACTAAACAAACCCAATTACACTTCTTGGATAAAGAATACAGCTTGAATGTAGATCAAGATGAATTTAAGAACAGAACCAAAATGTCCCTTCTTAACAAGTGTGAGCAGAGCAACATTTGATTTTTGTGAAGAGTGAAGAACTTCTTGCATTTTCTGTGTTAAAACAATAAAAACCCAATTACTTGCTGCTGCAAATCATTCAAAGTTTTCAATGTACATAGCTTAGTATTTTCTTCAAACTTGCTTATCAGTTTTGATTTCTTTCCCTTATCTTTGTAAATATAAACTGGCTAATATTTAACTGATCTAAATATAAAATGGTTAATAAGGCTTCTTATCATACTCCTGAAGCAAAACAGACTAGTTATCTTGAGGTCAGCTGTCAAAACCAAGACACTAAAAATCCATTTGGTGAAGTATCACTTAAACACACACATGAAATATATTCTTGTATCCTAAACCTAACAGTAGTACTTAAGCACAGTGCTGAAACTTGACCTACTACTGACATTTACTACTGTACACATTGTACAGAAATATATAAATACTGCACACTTATATGGCACACTTTTTTCTAATTCATAGCTCCTCCACGTGTTAAGAAAAAGTAATGAAATATTGACACTTACTTCAGAAGACAGTGACCTACCTGTAAGCCTGGAGTAAAAATATCTTGTAGATGTTAATGAGAACTGTTCTAAGGCTGTTGATCTAAAAGAACAGAAACAGAGCTATAAGAATATTTTAGTGTCATAACAGGATTTGTTGAAGATCTGGACAAAAACCAGTTTATGCTAAACTTCAAAGATTTCTTTTCTATAACTAAGTTAACAGTGTTGTGAAGGATCACTTCTGGAACCCTACATTTTATCTGACGTCAACATTTACAGATTATACAGACTTCCTCTCAAAAAATAAACTTTTATGTTAGAACTCAAAGCTGTTTTAATGCTCATCACTAATCACAATATTGCCAAACATCCATTTTCATATTCCCACCTGTAAATCAAGAAATAAACTATGACATTTCAGTTTGAGGACTGCACTCAGTTTGTATTTCATGTTTTTCCCAGCTGTTACATTTGAATTGAAGGAAAGACTTGATCTGATAGAAGTACAGGTGTAACTAGGAAAAAAAAAGTAAAAAAAGTAGTTAAACTCCGTGGGCTAATAGACTAAATTAAATTCTGAAAAGAAAGCCTCATTTAACTTCCCATTTTACAGAGATTTCCTGCTAATCAATGAGCCAGTAGCTAAAAGATGACCATAATTAAATTCAGTGTTGAAAGAGACTAGGCCCTGTGGAATTAAGGGTATTAGCAAAGGGCTGACTTCAATGCCTCAGGGCTGAAAAATTCACTCTGCTAAAAATGGTGAATCAATAACCTTAGAAATAAACTAAATGTATTTCTTAAACACACTGTCTAGCCAGAACACTATTAATTACTCCAGTGACAATCATCTTCTCTGTATCTATGATCCATGCAAGGCAGGAGCTTAGGCTTGAAGCCACCTTAGTTACTGGAACAACCCTGATTGTTCTAGCTACTTAAGCTTATAAAGCTTAGCAAAGCCTTGAAACAAATACTGTGGTGGGCTTGGTAGTGCTGGGTTAATGGCTGGCCTTGATCTTAAAGGTTTTTTCCAAAATAAACAATTCTATGGTTTTATGATTCTGATTGATGTCTCCCAACCCTGCAACATCAATACCCTTTTCAACATAAACTGTTTTTTTCAAGAACTCAGCTAGTGAATAAATCTCTGACTGTTGAATAAATTCCAAAAATGACCAAACTTTTCTGTTTAGGAAGACTACTCAGGAACTTTACTATCAGTGGAAAACCTCCTCCTAATGTTCCACTTAAATGCTTAAGGGCTGTTTATATTAAAAATGGTCAATAATGAAGCTAATGAAACAATATTATCCTTGAGTTTAAACAGCTCTTTCTTTTCCATCTTTAGCAAATGTCTAATGCCATCTCTAGTAATCCATGTAAAGGGTCTACAGAACCTTTCAGTAGGATACATGATCCTGTCCTGAGTTTTATGCCACTTCAGACTGTTTTGTGTAAATGGTCAAGGTTGCTAGTTTAAAGAGAAGTTCTCTTCCCCCAAACATTCTTTCCCATCTGAAGTGTACCAGAGGAAACACCTCTGATGTTGAATAGATTGCTTCTCCCTGTAGTCTATACCAAATAAAACCAAATCCGTTTTGCAATCAATTCAACTACATCATTCCCAGCGTACCCTTGTGCTTCTCCCACTATGTACGAGACACTGTAAAGCTGAGCCTGGAGTGTACAACTCTATTTACCTGGAGTAATCGCAGTAAACCTCGAGTGTTTTTATATCTAGTAACAAACCACACCACGGGATCAAACGACAATCTGGCAGCTGTTTAAATTTGGAACATCCTGGGATATCATCAACAGGAAAATTCACCACTGTCTTATTTGGGTTTATTAAAAGGCCGTACTCAGGAATACCTGTTGCTAGAGTCCTAAAACAAATATAAACAGTTAGGCTAAGCCCCCCCCAGCAAAGCAGACAAAAACTGGCACCACGCTGCAAGACATCAGACCTTGAACAAAAGGGCAGAAAACAAAGAATAAAGGGAACCACAGCCAACTCTCCAGGTTAAGGAACATAGCTAGAAATAAAGTGAAGACATTAGAGGTAAATAAATACATTAAACAAATAAACTTGAGGATAATGGAGAAAAAATTTTACAGATTAATGCAAATTAAGCATATCAGCCATGTAACACTTGAGATAAGATTTATGAACCACAGAAACCTCTGAAACAAAAATCACTCAAAAAAGACAGATGACAAGTTACTGTTTTTGGAAGTTAACAAAACCAAGAAGACACCATATAACAAGAATCTCAGTTATTTGATGAAAAGTTTTGAACTTTGATGGGAACATTTTCCCTAAGAATGTTTTCACTGCCAGAATGCCTGCTGATTACCTGCTACATACTGGATCAGCAGTGTCATGGACAAGAAGCAGTCTTGTCCTATTTGACAACATACTTATGTTTCATCCTTTTAAAGAGAGGAAGAGGTAGGCTCTTCTTCTTGGGGAGTCATAGTTGTAATGCTGTCTCCTTAAAACTAATTTACTGAGTCCCCCAGCTCGAATACTACATTAGGAAAAACTGATACTACTCTATTTATGGCAGAGAGATCATAGGATCTGATCTGTAAACAGTTCTGGAAATTTCTCACAGAAAAGCTACTTCTCTACAGAAAATCAACACAGGTGGTACAGAAGTTGGTGTAGAATAAACATGCAGACAACTTTAAAGGGTAAACAGGACAATATCTTCACTGCTACTCAAGTGACATTGTCCTGAACAGATTTTTTAAGAGATTAAAGCTTAAGGCCCCTCACTGTTAGTTTATCATTTCCAGAACTGTAAACCCACAGATCCCTACATATTTCTTCCTGTTCTGGTAAGGAAATGGGGACAAATGAAGTCTTCAAGATACACTATCCACTATTTCATACAATTTATATTTCAAATTGTACTTAATTGATTGTTCCATCACCTTTCAGGTTCACAACAGAGCTGCATCTTTCTTGCTATTGAAAAGCATGATACAACTGACTACACTGTAGATACTAAGATTTTCTTCCTTTAAATTGATTTTGGCATCAGCAGAACTCTACGACTGACTGTACACTCCCTATCCGCAGTAATCAGGAGCTTTTGGGATTCAATTTTTAAAGAAAAGGTAGTACTGAAGCACAGTAAAGAGTAAGTGTTTTAAAACTTCCATGTGAACTGCATACTACCATGCTATTGGTATCTTTGATACTCATCATGGAATGTTAATTATCAGAAAATTCTTAGCAATACTGGATCAGACCAGAGCTGCATTCTTTCTCAGAATGGGAACAGAAAGCAGCAGCATGAGTGCCCAATAAAAACATTTTGAGAATGTAAATAAGACATCTTAAAAATTTAAGGGAAAATGGTTTTAAAACACAACTGTCAGCTGCTTTGGTTAGGCTGCAATACTAATTTTTGCTTGAAGCTCCACCAAGGTTAGTAGGCAGGTCCCTAATTCAAACTTAAGCAGGAATTGCCTACCATGTGAACTGCAACAAATTCTTAACTGGCTATCAAGAATGCAGTTTTAGGATTCTTCCCAAGCACAGGCTACTACCAAGGCTTCCAAAATAGCCCTTGACTGTTAACTTTTAAATACACTTATGTGCATAAAGATGAAAAAGAATTACGTAAAAGGTAATAATGCTTACTACTTTGAAGACTATGTCTCTGATAGCATACCTTACAAAAGTTCTTGCCTTCATTAAATGTGGTGTAAGCAGCAAAAAATCATCAATGAGACGTATTAGGACTCTATAATCAAGAAGAAACCGATTTTTTAATACATAATCCTTTCAAAGCTTTTTCATACACTTCAGAGCAACAAGGTGCCTGCCTATTTTAATTCACAAGATGGTAGAGGCTGATACAAACTCCAAATTGAGACTCATGAAGAAATTCTCAATTTTGCTTCTTTCTTAAACATAAATGAAAAAATTAAATAAAAAAGCAATTAGACTGGCTAGATGAAAAATGAAATAATTTACAACATACAAACTATTCCCCTGGATCCAGTGTTTCCCTGGATACACTTTTCCAAGGGAGAATATGCAGTATCTTTCTCTACAAGACAAGGAAAAGAGGTCCCAGACCAGGTAGACAAGTAGATTCTTGATGGTTTCCAACTCTGTCTTTGTTTACCATGTAATAAGCTGTTTATGAAACTATCACTTGAATGTAAAACAGAATTCCATCTACCACTGTAAAGGCCGAAATTTTCCAACAGAATTCAGCCCCCAAGCATGCCCATGTTTTTCTGGTAAATCCTGCCTAGCAGATCACAGAGAAGTAACTCTGGAGATGATGATGTACAGTCTCACCCTCAAAGCAAGCATACTGCCATCACTATGATCAGATCAGTAGCACCTTGGCCCAGCCAAGTCAAAACCCACCTTATTCTTCTGACTTAAAGGACAAATTAAATTATCACGCTCATTCAACAGACACATAAGCAACATTCTAAAATCTGCTGTACATAAAGGCAGCTGTTACATTAACGAGTGCATTCTTCTGAATCAGTTTCATAATTTCTGTTTTGTAAACAACACCCTTTGAAAGCAACAGATAGCTTTTCAGACTCACATCAGAGCATCCTCAAGCCTGTGAGAACTACTGCTTTTGTAGAGAAATGTTTATAATTCTGACACCCAGCAAGCCTCCCAAGAAGAAACACCAGTAAGATGCACTTATCTGGAGTATTCCCACAGTTCTTTTTCATTTTTGGGAGGAGGAATTCACAGCAATGAAGGGAGATGTCTGAACACAAACAAGTTTCAGGGTCCAGCTCATGAATACCCTAATCCAGAATTCTGTTGGGGATCTGTTCATACAAAGGTAATAGGAACCTCAAAATTTTTACAGCTAATAAAGAGTTAAAGCTTTTAGCACGCTAGCTTTCTGTCAAGCTCCTAAGGAACAAGCACATGCAGGGCACAAAGACTGAGAAGATTTACCGAAAAATCACACCCTGTTTCAACAAGAACCAACATACCCCATAAAAAATCTGCTATAAATCTCTGACCTTGATAAAATGTTAAGATTTACTGACAGAGGATTGGAAAGCCCTCAGGCAGAAGCCAGGAGTATCAGAAAGTCTGTAACAAACATCTCATCTTGTCTGAAGTGAAAAGACACAGATGATGTGGAAATGAGGCATAGCCATAAACTTCTCACAAGTACAAGAGCAGCTAGAGATGCTGTAAGAAGCCTTACAAAGTACAGTGCTCTTTCTAAGAATAAATCTCCAACTAAAGATACAGGACAGCTTTTCTGCATTTTCTTCTCAATCTTCTAATAGGGAAATTCTCAAAAAAAAAGCAACCACAATTTCACTGAAGCTGCAAAGATGTTTGTGCACCATACTCCTAATGAAGTTGGAAATCCTTGAAATTCAAAACTAAATGTCAGAGAAAATGACTAACATATATATTACATACTATGAATTACTGTAATAGAGCAAAGCACCCTTACCCATCCTTCTGTATTCCAGAGAGCAATCTGTTTTCCATATCTCCATAGAATAAGCTGCAAAGTAAGCTTGACAAAATGGAGCCCTGTGGAATTCCACAGCACTGTAAGTAGAACCTTCCAAAGAATAAAAGAAAACAAAAAAATCAAAACATGCAACAACATTGCAATAGCTATTAAGTATTTTTTTTCCAAGTATAATGTAAGAAATATAGTATATGTTTACCGGTTAGCCTTATTTATTTTTTTCTTTTAAGAATCTACACAGAGATCTAGAAGTTTTAACTTTTAACAGTGAAAAAAACCCCACTAATAAACACATTCCTTTCATATTAACAAATTCCAGGAGTCAACTGCTGTTAAATGAAAGAAATTGTATAAGTGATCTCAAACCAGAAGACCTCCTCCTGCTGCAGACACATCCCTCATTGAAGTTTCTTAATTCTTTATGTTACATCTTAATCTGACAGCTTCAAGAGAAGTATTCCTCACACAAAACAAAGTGCACTGGGAGAATTTTCTATGCTGGCATGAAACAAATGGGTATGGCTCACAAAACCCAAGGGACTTATTTTCACAACACTTCTTTGAAGCAGTGAGATACTATAATGTCCATTTCACTGCTATTACATGAATGACTTGGTGAAGCTGAAGAGAATAAATTCAGACCACATACTACTTTTGAGGACTGATCCTACCTGTATTTTCAGTCAGCTGAAAATACTCCTTGCAGTAATTTTATTTTCTTACAGACTTTTGTTAAATGTATCAAACAGTATTAAAAGATTCCTTGGAGGCCCCCAGCTCAATAATCAGCATTTTTCTCAAAACATCGAGTTAATGTTGACCGTGGTTTTTTTAACGAGAAAAAGGGTCTATTTATTTACTGAATATATGGGGGGTTTTTTTTTGACAAACAAGAACAAGCTACTTAAAATGGGTAAGTTCATTTCATGACAAACATTTTTTCAGTCAAGCTGTGAATGAATTTGAAAGTGTGAAGCTGGTTTTGTCAGGGTGTACTTTCTCTGAAACCATTAAAATTCCATAAAATATACTCACATTGGTTAGTCATTATTAAAGTATGCCACAAGAGCATTCTTATGATCCTGCCAAAGGCAGCGTAAGGAATGCTAGGAGAAAATATAAACATGCTTCTATGTGACTCCTTGAGAGCATTTCTCACTCTCCCTCAATCCTCTGAGATTCTAAAATAAGTATTCTAAAACAAAAGCATTTTTTCCAGAGCAAGAAGCTATTCATTCTAATACAAATCACTCGGAATTTACAAATAACAATCATGTAAATATTTCCTTTCTTAAACATGGTACACATTTGCCACCTAGAGGCAAAATAAAAGTACCAAGTCAGTATCTCTACTAACACAAGAAGGAATCTGCATTACTACCTTCTGTAACATCTGATTCTTAATTCTGGAGTTGCCAGTAATTTAAATTTCTGCTGCTACTGCCTTTTATTTTTATTGCAACTTGCCAAATAGCAAAACCATTGCACTACAGGGAAATGACGAACAAGACTTCTGCATAATTGCTTGGATGTTACTCTTGCTTTTGCTCACCACAATGGATCCCACCATTTTAAAGTATATTCCTTTAGAATTACATTTGCAGTTTTAAAGGAAGGTTATTTCATATTCTATGGAATAATGCACTGTAAATAGTTAACATCATCCAGGTAGGGAAGAGAAATATTATTTAAAATGAAGTTGACTCCACACTCTTCATGCTTTTTTGGAGCTTAAACTGATACATAAATTTCTCATTAATATGAAATAAAAGATCTTTAAAAGACAACTATCAAAAGTCCCCAGAGTCAATTAAAGAAAACAAACAAACCAAGCATGCCATACAACAAGAAACTAATTTCTTTTTTACCTGTTTCTAATCTTCAGGATGCTGTTATGTATCATTTGAAGGAAAAAATTAAACAGGCTGGAACTTGTCTCATGGAAAGTTAAGCTCTAGAAATGTGACAAAACAAAACAAGATTTGAAATGAAAAGTAAACAGTAACTTTGAAGTTTAAATCTTTAAAAAAGTAGACTGCAGTAGCTCAAACCCACATGTGAAAAGATAAAACCTAAACCCAAGATCTGAATATACATACTAAAAAAATGCTCACATCAGGCAAGTTAATTTTTGTTGGATGTTGGGTTTTTTTTTGTTTTGTGAAATCAAATACAACATCTAAAACCACTGTTTAAAGTGTTGACATAATATATTGGATTATTACAAGGTGTAAAACCTTGCTCTTTTGGCCACTTTCAATCCTGTAGGACAATTTCTGTACATCACGATCTTTATGATTTACCAAGTCTTGATACATACACTTGCCCATTCTGCTGAAAAACACACACTTCTCCAGGTATTACCAACAATTCCATGCACTGCTGTGCACCCACTATTTAAGGAGCATCTTGTCAAAAATTGCAAGATAAAAAATCCATTTACAACAATTTAAATACCCTTAACAATGACTAAATTCAAATTAAAATAAAATTACTTACTACTTGCATAGATTAGACAAATTGCAAACAAATGCATCCATCTTTTGATAGAGCCATGCAAGATCACGATTACTTGCATTGAAAAGATAATGTGATGTACCAGTGGTACAGACACTCAGCCTGACATAACACTTTTCTCAAAATACTTCGTTCTTTTAAGATAATGACACACAAATTGTTTTCAAATATAAAATAGTTTTAAATAAAATGCTGCTGCTCATGCAATATCTAGCACAGTTCCCTAAATCAGTTTGAAAAAGGTAACAAAATGTACTTATACATCAGAGATCCAGCTAGTTTCTATTTTCATCCAGGTACTCATTAAAATTTTTTATTTTTGTAGGATCCTGGAACTGTACACCAGCCACACCATATATTCCACTCCTACGTCCACAGATCCCCAAGATAACTTCACTTATATGTCAGAAATCAGCTTTTGCAAACCTTGTAATTTTCTGGTGAAAAATGCCAGTTGAAGTGCCAGATTTAGAGAAGAAAAATTTAAAGAGGAATTACCTGTCTGCTCATTTGATGTTCAGGAAATCTTGTAGGTTGTTATTATGGAATACCATGATTCCAAGCAAGGAAATGCATGAAGAAACTGTCTGAGCCTATCACCTATTCCTATGCCTTTGTAATGCTCCTTGCACAAAACAAAGTCTTGAGAACAAACACTTGTATCACAAGAATTAAAACAGAAGGATGCTTGCTTCTTGCAACAAAGCATCAGTTGGAGTAAATTTAAAATACATGTAATTTTTAACCATACTTTAATTCACTGGAAACAAGAAATCTCTTTAAACAAAAGAGTTGATCTTGTTTGTGTTGCACTTAAATCTCCTAAAGAACAGTTCATTCTCATCAACCTTGACAGGTAATCCTTAAAATCAGCCTTTTTATTTTTAATTTGGCATAAAATAAGATCTTAAAACAAAACAAAAAAAAAAAGCTGTGCAGTTTGCTAATCAACATGCCACATCCTTAACTACTTGACTTATAGCACATTTTGCTTGTTCTTACTTCCATATATTTTGGAGATAGGAAGTGTTGACGCCCGCTTTTACTAGACAGTTAATTTCTCACTTGAGGACTGTTGCAAGAAACAATGGAATTAGGAAAGGAAAAAGAAAAATGGTTAAAATAGAAGTTTGATATAATAATGAGAAAATCTGGAAAAACTCTAGAAGGACTTTTTGTCAGATTTCCTGCCTGGCACACTCCTCCTACTGAACACTCAGAGCCTGTTAGAAACATTAAAGGAGAGATGACAAAAGTCTTTCTACAGAACTTGCTGGTTTATTAGATGACAAGTAATGTCACCACATAATATGTACATACAAGTGAAAATCCCAATCTTTCTCTAATTCTTCTGTAGCTTTCTTTTTCAGTTGAAAAGAAGCCTTTTCAATACTCACCTGTTCAACTACTATTGCATTCTGCAATGAGACACTCTCCTGAAGCTGGGACACAAACTGCTTCATGTCTGGCATAAAGTCCTTGAAGGTAGAAACCTGTATAATTGTTTAAATTGTAAAGAAACAAATGATAAAAGCAATAAAAAATGTAGTAACTAACTTTTCTATGCTGTGGAGGCCAAAGGACCAGCCTTATTGTATTGTTTTAATTCAACAGTTCTTCCACTAAAATGTGATATCTCACCCACAAATCTCTATTTCCACAATACATTTATCTTTATTTTTACTAATAGTGAGTAAAAACTTTAAAGGGTATGGACTAAAAACAAGCTTTTCTACCCCAGGAAAATATCTAACAGTATTAAAAAAGGGGTTATTAAGTACTTAACCAATTCAAATTGTGACTAAATAAAGCTGTAAAGGAAAGCTTTTCCTTGGACCAAAGATTTGTTTACAACAGCAAACAGAAGAAATCAGGAAGTCATACATGTCTCTTATAGAGCCTCTTGGCTCTTCCACTTGGGGTTATCATAATCACAGCATAGCGCCGTATGCAGTACACGGTTCTCTTCTCAGGCTTCAGGACCCGCGAAATCACTTCCACAAGTTTATTGTGAGGGATGGTATCATAAGCCCTGGACACATCAGCCTGAAATAGAAGAAATATCTTCCACTACATGTGCAGCAGTATCACTGTAAACATTGTGGTAGTATAGAAGTATTGCTGTAGTACCTAAGCAAGACTGAAGGACAGATCACATGGGAGTAAAATTATTGCATCATTCAGGTCAAATTAGTGACAAAATAAAACCTCACTGCTTATCTGAAAAACCTTCCCCCGCTCATCAAGTATTCCCTTAGAAAGGAATATCCAAATCACCAGTTTTAACACAATTCTTAACAGAAGATTATACTATATACCACCTTAAATCCAACACTGAACCCTCCATCATTTAAGTTAATAGTTGATATTTTAATGTTTAAATACTTAAAGAAACCTTCCTCACCATATGGCCATGGAGACATTTTAGACTTTTGGAAAGCTGCAAACCTATATATTTTACCTTTCCCTTCCTTTTCATATTGGAAACTCACCTCTGCTTTTACTTGTCACAGTAAAAACAGAAAACTTGCTGTAGAAGAAACAAATTTAGGATTATTAGAACACAAATTATGTCAATGACATAATCGACCCTTTGGCTCAAAAGACCAAATTATGAAAGTTATTTCGGGGCAAGATGACAAGCGCCATGAGAGATGAGAACAGAGCCTCCCCATAATATACATAAATCTGTGTAATTTACATATTTCTATACACGTTGCCCCAATTTAAAGTTATGAAGTGAAATCAGACACAAAATGTTGCCTGCTAGACTGAACTGACTTCACACTGACAGTGTGAAGATGAAGAAGAAACCCCTTTAAATAGTGGGCTACCACAAACACCAATTTTTTCAAAGTAGGAGAAGAAACCTTTTGGAAAGACACCAACCAGAATATATTCACTTTCATCCAAAACTAATGATACTGAGACAGAAGATACAAATTTTTTAAGACACTGAATTTATTCAAATTTACCCAGAACTTTTTTTGTGGTTTTCATATGGCTCAAAATCCTATCTGAGCTTCCATCTTTCTCCCACTTTCATACCAGCTCAATGTAACCATAAAAAAATTCAGTGCATGCATAGAAGCAGGAACTCCTGCACACCAGAAATGTGGACAGAAAAACACCCAAGTAAAGGAAGCTCTACTGGGACACCCAAATCACCCCATCAAAAAACTAACCAGAGTCTGTAAAGTACACAAAATTTTATTAAGAAAAATAAATAATTATGCAGCTTACAGCTAATACAGCTATAAAAGTATCTGCACAAGCTGGTTTTGAAAAGCTAGTTTGAAAATGTAATCAAAAACACATACCTTAACGCAGTAGAAATGAGGAATTTCACCACCAGATTCAAGAATCTTTTTAACAAATTGCTTCCATGTCTTGTAGATATCATCCTTCCCAAACACTGAAGAGCCTATAAAACTGGTGTTTATAGTCCGTTCATAATTTAACACACTAAACAGATTTTTTAGCTGAGTGTTATAACAATTCATCTAAAGAGACCAAAGAGAATCACCTTAAATTATGCTGAAACATATTAAATTCTTTGCAATACAAAGATTACAAATTTACATGAAGTTTGAGATTAAATTTATTTAATATATAATTATTTATATCTTTTATATAAATATATTAGTATTATATATTTATATATTATAACTATATTATAATAATTATAATAATAATTTTATTTAATATTTACCATATTATTTTGTTCAACTAAAGCTTTCAGAAAGCCTGAATACCACTGCAGTAACTACTTTGAAGTGACAAAATAGTCTCAGAGATTTATTTTTTTTTCCAGTACAGTTAAATCCTATGGAAAATAGATTTGTTCCTATCCTTGACTCTTGGAAATTAAGGTGTAATAGTTACACTGATAAACAGATGAATGCCAGCAAATATAATCACATCAATCTGAAAATAACTTCTTAAATATCATTCATTCTCTCTGGTGGAGATAATGACAGCAACAAGAACAACAAAGAGGAGGTATGCTCTGAGATTTTATGCTAACTCCACCTGCACCATCACTGAGCTTCTTGAGATACTTCATTCAAGTAACTGAGCAAATATTTAACTCAGCTGTGGGGATAGTCAAGTACATCAAAGCAGCACTGAAGTCATGCAGGTTGCTTAACTCTATAAACACCATAATGTGGAATATCATGTGAAATAACACTTCACAGATCAGAACAGCTTTTGGCTGATGTTCTTTTCATCTGTCTGGGATCACATGGTCTGAACAACTAGTCCTAAAAAGCTGTTGACACGTCACCCATTTGGGGAACACTCCATCTTGTGAATGAGACTCAGCCTTAAGGAAAAGCAATTAATGCAGCTGTGCAAGACAGTGAAACTCGGCTGCCACTATGTCTTCTGGTTAAATGCCCTGTTAAATAGATTATTCTGTGCACTGAATGCTCAGTCTCTGTTCCCACACTGCAACTACTCTCAGCTTCCTTCCTATCTCTCTACTGTGCTTGCTCCAGCTTCCTTGCTCTTCCTTAGACCCTGTTCTGTAATGCACTCAGCTCACCACTGTTCACTGGCTCCACAGGCAACTTCACAGATCAACATGCACCACCAGTATTCATGCAAATCCCAATAGGCCAGACACCCATATAAAAAAAATGGGATTACCTTACAAGATATGTCATTCTAATGGGCTCATTTCCTTAAGATAGGTTAGCAAACAGAAGTTTGTGATTCTGGAACTGGAGGCTTGTGGTAATTAAGCACTGGAAAGGGAGAAGCTAAGCTGCAACAGACCCACTCAGCCATTCTGATCAGAATGTTATAGTCCACCAAGTTAAAACTAGCTTTATGTGACAAAAATCCTTACTACATTTATTAGTTACCTACATCAAATGCACATAAAACAATGAAGTAAATAAAAACCTTTTTTTCTCTGCTTTCCTTGCTGAGTGCTCCTGGTTCGACAACACCGCTCACTTTTACTATAGGTCTCAACCCATTTCGTTTGGGAATAAACCGGAGCTTTGATGCCATTGGAACAAACTTTTTTTGACGGATAGTTTCAATCTCCTCTGAAGACAGAGGCCGTAGCTGTAGTTTGACAAAATGGTTTCTAAAATACAAATATACACTTAGTGTAAGCAATAGGAAAGGCAGAAAACTAAAACATTTAATGTCTTTATGATAACTAAAGCCAAATATTTTTCTAAGCTAATACAAATACTAACCTCTACAGAAAGTGACATGAAATTCTGAATTTCAGAAATATCACAGTATTTTAAATTACAATGTAATACAGTAGGAGACCACACATTTCTCCTTGATGCAAATAAAAACCCCTCTTAATACAAATTAAAATTTAAGCACAGATTAGTGGAATACATATGAACATTATGAAATATGTTTTATGCAAGAAACAAGAAGTTGGATATTTCTCATAGTTTCAGAAGTTTGAAAGGCATTAACAAAATTGAAAAGAACCTTCTAAAAACTATTCTAAGAGACATCCAGGGAAGGACTTACAAACTGTAATGGCTGTTCTACTGCCAACAGTTAGGGGATCTACCACTTCTTAGGAGTTACAGTTAATTCAGGTGCTGAGAGACACAGACAGCATAAGGGCTTTGGGTGTCCAGGACTGATGAGCAGGTGTCAGTGGAAGCAAACAGCAGAAAATAACAAAGAACCAAAGGCACCTAAGTCACAGGTTCTGAGCTTCCCAAGTTCACCTTAATGGGAAATGTGTTTTCCTCTCAGATCCCTTCTCAGGATTTACAGTTCCATGAACCTTCGTCAAAATCAATACTTTTCCATACAATGAATCAGGACATGGTGGTGGAGCAAAAGCCCTTGGTTTTACTTAAGATGCAGATTTAAAGTACCTTGCCTGCAACATAGAAGACCTGAATCGATCTTCTGCGCTGCTTGTATTGTTAAGATGGATAAAATGTGCCCTACAATAACTAATGGTTATGATATTATCCTGGGAAGTGAGTGAGGCAATTCAAGTCCTCACAAAAGAATGGACATCAATCTAAATTTGCAAGAGGACTTTTTATATCCCACATAGTCCAAGAGGTTGGTTTAGCAAAAGAAGGCCACACTATTGCAAAAGGCAGTGGATGAATAGTGGAAACCTGGTAAAGATGCCCTAGGACACACCTAAGAAGCCAAGAACATAGGTAAGAGAGGCACAAAAATACTTATTTTGTATGCCTATACAACTCAAATACAAGCTCATGATCCAGCTGCTTGGGACTCTTGCAGTCTGAGGGATACAATGCATGACACCTAGAAGTACAGTGGCATGCAGAGCCACTATACTCATGTGAGTTGAGATACTGAAAAAAGAGTTTTGAGGATTTATAGTCAAAACTCCTGATATGGATGCTGCCCAAAGGAAAGCAAAAATTACTGCTTTTCCACAGTGAGGGACCACTATTCTTTATAGAATTATATCCTTTGCTGAACACAACATCTACTACACTATTAGACAGATAACCAGGACAAAATAAGTAACTCAACAGAAAAAACTTAATCATCAAGTTTCCATTCCTTTACAGCTCATATTCAAGACTGTGGGAAAAAACAAAACAAAACCAATGAACCTCTATCACTATAATAAAAATACAGCTTCCTTTGAAAGTGATGACAAAGGCCAGTTACTGGCAGATCTTCTCTACTACCTCTGGCCAGCTGGAGAACTGGATGCCATTTTGCCTGCAGCAACATTCATTGCTAATTTCATGGCATTTATAGCAGCACTAATGATTTTGAACGGGCACTAATCCAGCAGCCACTGAACCATGCTGCTCTCACTGAGACTCACAACACTGTTAACAGAAATTTGAAGGAACTTGACTGGATGGTCCTGTTGTCTTTTGAAATCTCAGCACAATCTGATGGGGAAGGTTCAGAATTTTTGCAGTGTTTTTAATCCTTGGTAGCCACTGTGTGTGGCAGGGGCAGGGAAAGCATGAGCTTCAGGAAAACAGGCACTCTCACAACAACACTGGGTTCATCATTTTTAAAACACAACTTTACATTCTGCAGGCTATGTAACTTGAATCGATTGTATCACAAAATACTGTTTTTTTCTTAGTAAATCCTGCTTTCAATTTGGGCAATTAAATTTGGTATAGCTTCAAAAATTAATACAAAGTTGTCTGTGTACAATGACAGCACACTCTGATCTCCACCAATATAGAAAGGCTAATATAGAGATCCAGGACCCCTCTCAGAACCGTGCTCCATATCCTTGAGTGGGATTCTGCCCAGTATGAGCTACTCAAAAGGACAGTCTTTCAAGATGAGGATCTACTCCCTAATGACAATGCAGTCTCTGCAAAGGTAAGCACACAAGTAAGGTCCAGGTCTACTCAGTCCAGCTTGTTCCATCAATTCTTTTCCTCCAAAGAAGGATGCAGAACTCAACAGGAATCAGTAGCTACCAATGCCTTCCTGTGAATGCACTCAGAACAACTGCCTTGAGCGGCTCCAACTGAGAAGAACCAGAACAACCATAGAACATGCATTAGAGCATGAGGTCACCAGATGCTTTTCCTCCAGAGAAGATGGAAGCAGCTCAACAGCCTTTGGCACTGCTTTACCAGCAGTGCCTGGCTGGTTAAGAGCAGACAGTGTCTGAACACCCTCAAAATGGCCAAGGCTGCCCTAAACACCTGTATCCCAATTTCTATCCTCCTATGCGAAGTTGGCAACTGGCTACCTGTATGAATGCAGGAAGCTGGATTTGTGGCAGACCTCATGTAACAGATCACAATTGAAAGAGCAGCGCTGAAAAGCCCTGTCAGTGAAGCTTAACTGCAGCTGCTAACATCAGAGTCAAAGTCCTTATAAAATATGACTCCTGAAGCCAAGAGTAAACATTCTGTTCTTAGAACACGCCTTTGGCATGCACGCAGCAGCCATTTCCTGGATGTTTCTCCAGCTTCCAACAACCTGAAGTTTAGAGACCTTCCAAGCCAAAGGTGAGAAGGGGTTTCCTGCATGGTAAGGAAATATGTCAGGAGGAAATCAAAAGAAACAAGATCCTAGATTAGCGTCTTTAGAGTTCAAAGCACCTTGTCCTCACACATTGGGTTTTTCTGGGCAATTGGGAACATGAACAATAGAGCTAAATCCCAAGTTATTTGTTTTCTTCTAATCATTAACCCCACAAAAAAGCTATTATTTACTACTTCTATTATTCCTTTATTGCATCTCTATTATGTTAAAGTCAGTACTTGACTATATTTTCTGCCAAAAAATGGTCTTTAAGTACATTAAAACTGCATAAAAACATTAATTGCAACACTACAGCTATCAATTTGAAGACAAGACAAACAGAATGTGTTTGTGTGGGACTAAAAAATCACATTCTACTACTCCTACTATTCAAAGTGCATTTTCTGTGCTACAACTGCAAACAAGATCGAGACCCCATTAAGCGCAAACACAAATGCAAAGACTGGCACTGGAGATATCAACGCTGAAATCAGGGAGTGACGGGGCAGGAGGGCAAAAATCACACCTGTGGACCAAGAAATCAGAGCAAAAGCAAAACATTCACCATACAAAACAGCAAGACATGAAGTACGCTAATTTTTCACAGTTCCAAAGTTCTCTCAGATACCAGCAATTTATAATGAAAACCTGAAAGATGTGAGCTAAGGAGATGAGTGCACAATACTGTTTATTAGAACTGCCTTTCCTATTTTCTCACTTAATTGTTTAAAATTTTATCTTAAATAATGCCCTAACTTAAATACATGCATGCATTTTTAAGACCAAAAAAAACCAGCATGGAATTCCAGCCATACTAAAAAAGGAGCTGTGGCTTCTAAAACCCTTAATTTTTTAAAAAGCCCTCCTAAACCCACTAGGCTACTGTCTGATTTTTACGGATAGAGTATTACAGCTTTCCAGCAGAGTCCTGGTTTTGGTTTTGTTGTTCCTACATTAAAGTATTTAAAGCAAATGGAGTATTTTTTAAAATGAACTTTCACAAGGTTAATTTGTGGTTCTATCACTATGCTTTAACTCACTGTTAGAAGGTATAAAAATGGACTTATCATAACAAAATTCTCTTAATACTGGATTTTATTATTGCAAAGATTTCTCTTCTAATAAATAATCTAAATTTGAGTTAGTTTTCTCACACACAAAGTATTTCTGAAAGTACAAACTGTGCATGCTACAATCACAGGTTGCAATTTCCTCTGGGAAATGAAGCAAATAAAATGAAGAAAAATAGGCAATAAATTAAAGCAGAAACCTTTACACAACCTTTACAATACAAAGCACATGATTTCTCCACATCCATTAATGCTTAATTAGTTTTCTAGTGTTACCTAATTCCAATGTTCTGTAACTTGCCCCAAATAAACTTTCGGTAGTAGAAGAGCATGTTTTTCTGGAACATGGTCTCGGTGACATAGAAAAATGATCTGAGCAACTCAACAACATAGGTACCCATCATCCAGTACAGGAATTTGGCCAGAAGTTCTTCACGGAAGCAATGTTCATCGGCAGGAACAAAGTGATCACCTTAAATAAATAATTCAAAGGTAGTTATAGTAACTATCAATTCTTAGCATGTGCAAAGAAACAGAACACACACACAAAAAAACCACAAACCTGTACAACATTCTTGCCTTAGCTTGAGGTCAGGAGAACGAAAAAAAGCAAATTACAAACAATTACACAGATGCCACTCCAAATTTTCAGGGCATTAAATAACGCAACTGACCCAAGCTTAAAGCATAAACATAGGAACTAATCTGCAGTGACAAACTGACACAGAGGATACAAATACATGCCACAGTAGCCCAAAGACTCACTTTCTTCCCCCAACACTGATTGTGCAAGATATTTAATGCACAAAGGCAAGATTATTGTGAAAGGAGAGGTAAAATAAAAGAAATAAATCTACTACAATATAAAACTTAAAAAAAAAAAAATGAAGCAAAAACTGAAAATAATATAGGTATACTGTAAAAATTAACAAAATTAAACTGGGATGATTTGGAGACAAGAATGATATTCAGATTTCCCAATTACATAAAAATTAATTAATCACAGGGTTAGGCATCATTTCAGACATCCTATATAGAACTTATTGCTGCAGTCAAATAAAAACAAAGAAAAAATTCAAATCACCCAAAGCCCATCGGTACTTCCAACATTTAGATGGGACAATTACAGACCCAGAGCATTCCTAACTACTATCAAATTTAAGGTCACATAGATCTGTAATTATGACTAAATACAGATGAACAGGGAATAAGATTGTGGACTACAATACTAATGTTTTGGCCAACTTCCAATAATAATTTTTCTAATTACATTTAAAGCGCAGAATTTAGCCCAAATGCAACAGGATTCTTAAAGAAACTGCACATAAATATTAATTTAGCTCCTTAGCAGAAATCATGGTTGTGGCACAAATGTGTTAAAAAAAGCTTAATTTTGATGCAACAGACCTGACAGTAAAATTTATAAAATGGAGATAAATTTTCAGTTTTCTACTCCGTTTAGTTTTTGCTTGCTCCAGGGAAGAGACATTTTCATATATATATATAGAGCACTTAAAAAAGGACTTTTACTACATCAACAGAAGCCAGTTAACATCATGGAAAAATCTCCCTTTTGGCAAATTTTTGAAAACTCTTCTCTAACTGATGCAGTTGTAATATGCCAATTAAAGCAGGATTCTGATAGATAGCTGCCCTGAAAATAGATTATTTCTTTTCTAAGTTCTTGACAACAGATGTAAACAAAGATTACAATTCAGAAAATTATCAAGAAAGCACTACTACTTTTGGAGTAGCATGTAATACAGTCTATATATTGTTTTGCATGGAATATGACCAGACAAGAAGAGGGCATTACATTTTTCAAAGATAAGATGTCCCAAATTACTATGAATCAAACACATATTTTATAATAAAGCCTTTTAAATATTTAACTCCTCAGCATTTTGGAAAGTGTGGTTTTGAACCACAGTTTCTGAATAAAGAAATACTGTTTCCTAGAATTAAGATCTTATGAAAGTGTAACCTCCCTTATTTTTGACATCAGTTCTCAAACGTCAGACTTCTGATTTTCCTCCTACACTTGAAAGAACCTACAACAGTTTCAGAACTTACTGTACCTTTTAACAAAAAAATACCATTTTCAGATCACATTACTGCAGGATCTAAGTACAATACCACATAAGAATAAATACTGTAAGCATGCCACTTAAGGGACTGCAATCCAAATTGTATAGATGAAGAAAAGGAAAATGAAAATGTGCTAGGTCCTACAGCAATCAACCCCAGAACCACGGCTTCAGCCTAGATTTAAATCCTAGGATAGTGTCTGAAGAACAAACTCGAGGAAAGGAAGATTTTCCTGTCATTTGAAAAGAGGACTAACCAGAAATGGATTCATACACTATCTGGAGCAATCAGCTGTTGTCCTCATGAGAGCTTTTTAGCCAGAGACCGTTTGACCTGGGGACTTCTGCACCATGATTAGCCAGACTGAAGCAGTGCTCAGTAAGGCTCTCTGGATCCTAGAGAGGGTCTCTAGAAAAGGTGATAGATGATGACAGCCCTTTTCACAAGGACATGCAATGACAGGACATGGGGGAAAGGTTTTAAACTTTAAGTAGGTTTAGATTAAATGTTAGGAATAAATTCTTTACTGTGAGGTTGGTAAGGCACTGGAACAGATTGCCTGGAGTGGCTGCGTATGTCCCAGCCCCAGAAGCATTCAAGGACAGGCTGAATGGTGTTCTGAGAAACCTGATCTAGTGGAAGGTGTTCCTGCCCATGGCAGGGAGGCTGGAACTAGATCTTTAACGTCACTTCCAATCCAAACCATTCTGTTTGAATGGTTTGGATTGGAAGTAATGCCACAGCCCTGTATTGAACTGGTCTCATACTCACATCTTTCTCACAGGGTTGATGTGAGGGAGTAAAACAACCCGCTTTTTTTGAGGAACACATGTCACTACAAGTGTCTTGATTTGCTTCTAGTTCTTTCTGAACTCTTAACAGTAACAAACAGGCAGATACTGTTTATTCCTTACATGCTTAGGTCATACTTCAATGGATTTTCAGAGTTACTGCAATTTGTACTGCAATTTGCAATAGTAGGAGTGGATGGGAAAGGATGGGAAAGTGGATGGAGGGATGGGAAAGGTTTTTATTCAGCCCAGGTTCTGACTTCATTTATGAAAACATCATTCTATTAAACAGCATAAATGCAAACAAGTTTTGGAAGGAAGACAAGCTGAAGTGTCCTTCCACCATCAGTTACAAACACTACTAGGTTTGCTCTCCCAGCTACGGTTATTACCAATGAACTCAGCAATTCTGAGTGCAGATTCAATATCCTCCCGTTCCCACCTAAACATGAACACCCATCATCTGACAGCCTCACCACTTATATTTAAGTTTTTTAATATAAGAAGTACCTTTGCCTAGACGAAGCCACATGCAGTCATTCACTCTCATCCTGCACATCAACTCTGGCAATGAAACCTTAGCAAACCTTCCCCCAGAAATGAACATTTTGACATTTTTTAGAAACCGGCACTTGTTGTGGTTTGAACCCCAAAGCTCAGAAGGGATGACCTTCTCCAGGCAATCCCTCACAAACATGTACACCTGCCAGTGGCTGCTGTGCTGCTTGAGGAGCTCCTTGAGGACTGAATCATGTGTCTCTACCAGGTTTTGCTCCTCACTTGGTGGTGACTCCTCACACACAGATTCTGGAATGGGAGCATCTAAGTTGTCTGGTACATCAGTGTGACCAGACTGACATCTGCTGCTTTTCACACGCTTAGCAGGCTCTTTCCCAAACTGTTTTGCTTGCTTCTGAACCTCTGCTTCCCCAGGCAAGGCTGCCCGACAAGACAGCATGATTTTTCTCATACTGATTTCAGACATCCGAATGGGGCAATTTTTTCTCAAGAGAGCTAGGTAAGCACACTTTCCATGGTTCTTTAGCAGGTTCTGAAATGTATGCCTCATTTGCCTGTAGCGCTTGGGCAACCTCTTCTTTCTCCGCTTGTGTTCTGGCAGACTTTGGTTATGCCTTTGCTGCACCTGATTTTGGCTTAAGAATATAGCTTCTATAAGCAGTCTTCCACCTGCCTGAGAGCCCTGCAAGCAATTCAATACAAATGATTTAGGAAAACATTCTTGGAGACTCCTGCAAGAATACAGAAGAGACTTCCTCTCAATGTATACTGCAGAACTCAGGAATCTATTTGGTAACTTCTTTGATAATGGCGATTGGGGACTTTCTTGCCTTCTGCATTTTGAAGTACCCTCCATGGATTTGGTTTGTCCTGAAGCCAACAGAGATTCATACATATGCATCTCTACTCTTTTCCTATGGGATTCTGCTTGCACTTCAGTGTTGGACTCTAAAGGCCTGTTAGTATGAACTCTCTGCAGAGAAGAGCTTTTACCTGCCACAAACTTCCTCCTGCCACGAGATGTGTGAACCAAAGAATGACGAGACACGGTACTGCTACTTCTTTCGGAAATATGGGGGGTTTTAATGACACTTTCAGAACAGGGTGCTACATACCCAGTTTCAGATCTCTTGGAACTACTTTGGTTTACATCACCAACAAGGCTACAAGCCTTTTCCTCTCTCACTTTCTCCCCTATTTTTGCCCTCTTGGCTAGAACTCCAGGTTGCTCTCTGTGAATCTTCCTTTCCAGAGATGGAACTGTAGCTACATACCCCATTTCAGATCTCTTGGAACTACTTTGGTTTACATCACCAACAAGACTACAAGCCCTTTCCTCTCTCACTTTCTCCCCTATTTTTGTCCTCTTCACTGGAACTCCAGGTTGTTCTCTGTGAATCTTCCTTTCTAGAGATGAAACTGTAGCTACGTACCCAGTTTCAGATCTCTTGGAACTACTTTGGTTTACATCACCAACAAGACTACAAGCCTTCTCCTCTCTCACTTTCTCCCCTATTTTTGCCCTCTTGGCTGGAATTTCAGGTTGTCCTCTACGAATCTTCCTTTTTAGAGATGGAGCTGTAGCTACGTACCCAGTTTCAGATCTCTTGGAACTACTTTGGTTTACATCAAGAACAAGACTACAAGCCTTTTCCTCTCTCACTTTCTCCCCTATTTTTGCTCTCTTGGCTGGAATTTCGGGTTGTTCTCTATGAATCCTCCTTTTCAGAGATGGAGTTGTAGCTGAAACACGTGAACTGGAGCTACTCTGTTTTTCCTGATGTTCAGTAACTGTTCCGATTTGTTTGCTCACTTTAGAAACAGCTTCTGCAGAACACTGGTCAGTAGGCACTAGACTTTGTCTCTTGTTATTTCCTTCATTTCTCAATCTGAAGACACTGTTTTCAAATCTTTGTCTGTATTTCCACAAATACAGCTTTAGAAGATAATTTCTATGAAACATAAGCCTTTTCCGTATATATTTTATCAAGCTAGTATGTTTATGCTTTGAGAACCTTTGTCTAACAAACACCAGGGATGAGTCTACATTATGTGGAATAAGTTCATAAACCGGTTGCCCACAAACTTGGTAACAATTACTAGGGGGAACCATCATAAAGACTGCGCAGTGTTCCAACAAATACATCATCACATCATCCCCTATCCGGCTCAACAGTGTCTCCCAGAAGCCGCTGATACGAAGAGTTTCTGTGGCAGTATTGGGTAGGTAGCTGTGTATCTTTGAAAATGGCACAACTGGGAATTGAGAACTGTTTTCATCTGGTAAGGAGTATCCATATGCAAGGATGTTCTTCTTCTTTTTTTCACACAGTCTCTGAACGACTCTTGTCGTCACCTCACTCTGACTAGATAACTGAAGAAACAAAGAAAAAAGAAAATTAGTTTTCTTCACTTTATTTCATAAACCATAATATACCCTTTAAACACACGCAAAGGTACACAGCCCTAGACATCAGATTTCAAAACAGCATTAATGATTCCAAAGCATCATACTCAAAAATTAAGATTTTCCAGGTGTAATGCAAGATGTTCACATGTAGCAACGCAAGCCGACGACTTGAAGGAAGTCTTTTTAACATCTGCCCTTTTGATCCTGGCTTTTATGCCCAGGAAACGCCCTACACTATTCCCCTTGAGTCCCTCAGCAGCTCAGACTCCACTGCCTCCAATGAATCCTTGTTTGCAGATCCACGTTAGCAGGCACGCATCCGTACATACGTGCTCGCGCAGGCTCTAACCTCCAGGGAACTAACGCTAATTTTCTTGAGGCCTCCATTTCCTTTTATGTGAAGGAAAATTCAACTAAACGAATCGGCACACAATTCCAAAACCCATTTAACAAGCTGTCTTGGGTCTACAACATCTGCTTCCTACCACAGCAGTTTCACTCATTCGGCGCTAAGAAAAAAGCGGTTTTCCCTCTCTGAAAAGCTTTTCCTCTGCTTAAACACCGACCCGCAGCCCGTTCTACCCGCCAGGATCTCTCAAGAGTGGGGCACTCTCCATCGCCAGTCGCTCCCCGGCCTCATTCGGCTTGTTCACCCCTACCCACATGGGCAGGCAGGGACTCAGGGAGCCCCACGCACAGACCTGCAGCGCTATCCGCCCGCCCTAGGCCGGCACCTGGCTTTTGCTCTCCCAGCCGCAAGCAGAGGCAGGGGCTGATCCCCAGCGCTCCCCGCTGGCTCTGGGGCCGGGATGGAGCGGCGGAGGGCTGTGCGAGCCGACCAGGCCCGGCCGGCAGCAGCCGCGAGGGGCCAAGGCCGCCGCGCCGCCCCCGCACGGAGCGCGGGAAGCGCCGACCCCGGGAAGCCCCGGCAGGGCTCTCGCTGCTCCTCGCAGCCCCTCGCCC